TATGAAAAGCAAGTCACGTACTATTCATATTTGAAAAACGTATTGATTGTCTTCAAGAATGGAAACAACATCCTGAAATTTAAAATCTTTCATAATTTGTTTTTCCTGATCAAGATCCAGTAAATAATTTACAATTTGTTCTCTTTTGTTATATATGGAATCAAGCACGTCTGCTGATGAAGTCCACCTTGTTGGACAATAACATTTTATGCCACCAGAACAGACATTTAAAAACGCGGAATCATCATCTAATTTTCGAGACAAAGAAAGACTAAATGAAATAACGTCGGAAATTAATGGATGTGAACAAAGCACTTTTGCCCTCAAATTAACTCTATGACAAGCACACCAAACTTTATACACTTTAATTCCTTTATTGTTCATGTACTCAACAAACAAAGTCGCAAATCCTTTATCTTTACCACACATATTAGCCGCTCCATCTGTAGTGATGCACTTTATTTTTTTCAATTTCAATTTTAGATGCAACCAACTGAATAATCACTTTATCAAGAATATTTTTACCGGTTGCACGTTTGTCGAGAATAAAAGAAGATACCAGAAACTCTGATATTTCAAATTGTTCATCCACAAATCTCAAAATTATTACATACTATTTTTTCTTTGAAACCTTGCTTTCGTCTATTTGAAGACAAATATATTTGGATTGTTTAGAGAGTTTTTCGAGATCCATTTTAAGATTATTTACACATGTAATCTGTCTTCTCGACAATGTGTTATAACTAAACCTCAAACATTTTTCAAATGCTTCTCCATCTTTTTGTCTCAATTCGTTATATTTTTTACACATCTCAATAAGTACTTTTCCCTTTATTAGTGGTATATGGTTTTCTCCCATTATTTTACTCATTAAAATAGTAAACTTTAAACAATCCTTTCTGATTTCTGAATTGTACTTTTTGTTATTGAACACTTAATAAAAATGCTCAGTACTACCAAGTCCCAACTCGTAAGCATCAAGAATTAAGGAAATAGTATCACTGTTGATATTTGAATGTTCATTAATAAAATGATCCTTTGAATAGTTGGCTGTAACAATAATATTACACAATAAACATTTAAAAGACTTGTCATTTACAGGAACTAACAGTCTATCAGAGACCCAAGAAAATCGTCTTTTTCTTTGTTCCATTAAACTAGACATTTTGATTTATTAGTTTTTTAAATGGTGAATTAAGTCAATTTTTAGTTTTGTTGTTTTTTATGGTGATTATTATTTTTTCTTTGATTTATTTTTTTAATTAAATTTTGAGCTGATTTGGCAATTTGATTGTGTTTTATATGTGTATTTTCATTTTTTGTTTTCTTTGGTTTAAATAATAGTAGTTTTTACAGTTATAACAAATAAAAAGCAAATTGAAAATATAGTCATGATTTGTAATAGTAAAGTTTTATATACCATCAAATTTTAATAAATTAATTAAAATTTTATTGTAAAAATGTGGTGACGTGGGTAATTAGAATTGAATTTTGGAAACCTCTGTATATAATGTATTTTAGTATCGATAAGCTTTTCATTCCATCTACCGTATAAATTGAATCTATGATATAATAATTAATGTATTAATTTTTAAGTATTGTTTTTCAATACGACATCATTGATAAACAGAGGTTTCCAAAATCCCAATCCTAATTACCCACGTCACCATTTCATAACCAAAATGTTCATTTTCTCTTATAAATTCTTACGTTATAATACCACATTTTCGGCAAAAATTATTTTGGAAACGCCTGTTGATAAACAATGGAACATTGAGAATAGTTTTATATTTTTGTAGATTAATAAAATAGAGTTATTCTCATAATTATTATTTATTAGAAGATGAAAACAATTACTTTTTAAATTAAATTAAGTGATATATTTTGGTGTGATGTTTACATCAATACAATTGTTTGATATAGTACAACATTTAGAAAATATAATTATATTTTCTAAATATTGGAAATGATAACAATTGTTTATGTTAATTGGAAACAAAACATATTGACATTATAAATTCTATTTTTATTTGTATTTCTTAAACAAACAAAATGTTTTTTGAATTGACACTAATTATTAAAAATATAAAACTATAATAATAATTTTAACAAAACATAAATAAATGAATTGTAATTGACATTTCACATCATAATTTTTATAGGGATTTTAAAAAATAAATTTAAGAATTATTTATACAAATCATTGACAATTGCCAAACAAGTGTAAAGAAGTTTAAAACATAATAGGGAAGAACAAGCATAATATTTTTTTTCATACTAATAATTGAAAACAAAAATTGAAAACATTTTTTCTTATTGAATGAAAAGTTAATTCCAAACTTTTAATAGAAAAAATAAAACAGAAACACAAAAACACATTGTAATGATTTGGTTTTCTTTATTATTATGTGTTGTAATGGGAATTGATCCGAAAGAGTCAACGACTCAGACTACAGAAGATAACGTTCATTTAACAGACACACTTATTATAATGATGAAACAGTTCATTGAAACAACTTTAAATACACGTGCAAAATTAAGCCAGTTTTCAATCAGTGTTAAAACAAGAGCAAAATCTCTTGGATTATATTTAATTAATAATATCAACGAAATAACTGCGAATGAAGAAAATTTTGAAGATTACATCAGAAGTTTGATTAAGAAAAGACACATTTCCAGAAATGATTTCTTATCTTTGATGAAAACAATAAAGGAAAAATTTGATTTGACAATAACCAAGAAATATTATGGTAAATTTATGACTGATTTACAATCAAATATATATAACGTGAAAGCTGAGAATTTGTATAACAAAGAAAATGAAAAGATCATGATGAGTGGAGTTGTTTTAAGTATCGAAATGTCTGCTCTTAAAAGAAAAATGCTGCAAATACTTTCGTCTTTCTTGAAAATGGAACATTACTCGGATTATATAAGTGGAAGAAGGAATTTGAACAATTTTATTCAACAACTTGGAATGTTTGTCAATCCCAATTTTGATGCCAATCAACCAAAAAGTTTCCTTGAGCTTCCAGAACCACAAGTATATGGGTTGCAACCATCACATTTGAAGACCGAAAGACAACAAGAAGACAGAAAAGAAGCTTATCCTTATAGAAACGAAAAAGAGACTTTAAATGAACTTCGAGATGAACACCAAAAAACAGAAGAAAGAAAAAGACAACAAGACAGAGAAGATGCCAAATTGTACAAAAAAACCGAAGAAACTCCAGAAAAGGCAAAATTTACAATTGAAAAAATCAAAGATCCTAATGCAGAACCCATTCCACCGCCGCCATTCCCAAAATATGTCGTAAAAAAGAAAAAAGGAGCAGATGGTGGAATTACTCATCCAACAACAACTCCTAAGAAAACAACTGGATATAAGAAAGGAAGTTCAAGTGATTTTTCAATGGAAGAATTCTAAAAAATTATATCAATTTGTTTAACTTTGTGTTTGTTCATCTAAAATCATATTATATATTTGTATTTTGACAAGAAAATACCTTAAATAAATTTATACAATTAAAGGGGGGTTATTTGTCATTATCTTATTTGTCGAACGAGTCTTTTTGTAGCGCAACTGGCTAATAATTTTGGTGTAAGACAGTTAACTTTTTGTTCCCGAATCTGTAACTTCTGTTGAATTTAAACCAAATTTTTACTCAAAAATAAATTTCATTATTAAAACAAACTTTCTGAAAAATTCACTCATTTACGACAAATAGATTATTTTTTGTGCTGTATTTCGAAAAATAGACCCTTTTCACTGTATGTGTATTTTTGACTTCTTTTAATTGTTTGTAATGATGAGGGGTTTATTAATATTAAAACAATAACTTTCTTTATAATAATTTGGAAATAACAATAATAATATTGTTGGAATAGTTATTTTAATATTTTATTTTATATCATTTGTTTGCAAATGGTATAAATTACCAAAAAAGATATTTTAAAACAATTAATTTTGAAACCAAAACATATAAAATGGAATTCTTAATAATTCTATAAGTAGTATAGAAACCTCGACCTGTATTTTTAAACCATTTTAAATAACAATTTGAAGTGAGTTTTTAACTCGTTAATTATTAAAGACTTGTATGATTTATTTTTTTGAAGTAAAAACTTTTCAAAATTTAAACACCCCAAATAATAATTGTCATTTCATGTTTATTTATGTACTTACCCTTGTATTTGGAGTATTAGGAGTAAAACCAAAAACTCCTTCTCCAACACCCAAAGACAATGTTGAAGTAACACCAGCATTACAAACAGAACTCAATAAATTTATTACTTTGACAGAACGCTATATAGCTATGTTATCACAGATGTCTGTCAATATGAAAATGGGAGCTCCTCTTTTGGGAAGATATTTGTTTAAAAATATCAAAAAAATTGTCAAAAAGGAAACTAAAATTGTTCAATATATCAAAAAGGTGATTGAAGAGAAGGTAATTTCGATTAGTGAATTTTTAAGAAAAATGTTGAAAATACACAAAACTTATGGCACCAAAAATCGTTTCAAGTTATATGGTAAATTGATCTACGATTTTAATGAAAATGTTCATTCGGTTCAATCAAAAAATCTCTTTAATAAACACAATAAGAGAGTGATGATGAATGGTCTTTTGGTTGGAATTGATTTAACGGCCATCAAGAAGAGAATTTTTGAAAAAATTGCGACCGTATGCGGGTTGAATGAGAGAGAAGAATATAAAAAAGCACAACAAAAACTTGGAAAGTTTATAAGAAAGTTAGCATTATTTATCGATGAAAATTTTGATGAAACAAAACCTGAAAGTTATAGAAAATTGCCACAACCACAATTCTTTGGTTTCCATGTACAAACAACTGATTCTCCAAAACCCCGAATCCAAAGAAAGCCAAGTGCAAGATATTTCACTCCAGAAGAGCTTCATGAAATTTTTAAATATGAAAAAGACGTTGGAACATCTAAAATAGAAGGTGCAGAGCAACAAAAAGGATTTTCTGTTGATAGTCCAAAAGGATCTAAAGGAAAAGAATTGCAAACGTCTTCTTCCCAACTTCTTCTGCAAAACAAAGATGGAAAAGAAAAAGAAACTCAAAAACGAATTCAAAGTGTTAAAAGCAGTCCGAAATCCTCACCAAAAAGAAAGGAATAAAAAAGGTTTACAAAAAAATAAAACAAATGGAATTATTTCTAATAAAAATTGTGTGTTTATTTGTTTTGATTGTTAGTAAAAATATTATTTAAATTTAAATACACAAATTATTATAAATTATAATTTTGGAATTAACCATTTATATACTCTTTTATATAACTTTTCAAATTGTTTTAAATAAGTAATATTCAAACACCAATTATTTATTTCAATAAAATTTTATTTGAACTTATTATATAACTTGAATTTATTTGAATATTTAATAATAATTAACTTTATTAAAAATTATAATAAAAATATAAATAGATTTATTTTACAGATCAAAAAAAATGATCTTTTGTCTCTAATTTGACTAATAATTGAACATTTGGTTAATTATAAAGATTTTTGTTTCAATTCAAATTTTATTTATATCGAATGAAAACAAAACTTAAAATGCAATTGTTTTATTTAATTTAATTCATTTAAAAAAACGGGATCTATTCATATTAATTATTATTTTTAATTATTAAACCCCATTGGAAATTATCTTTCAATATCAATTTGTATAGTATTTAATTGATTTTTTAATATTATAATAATAGTTAATAATGAACAAATTGATTAGAAAAAATAAACTATAATTTATAAATTATTTAAAATTTATTAAGTAATATCACTAGACAAATAACCAAACAAATATAGAACAATTTTTAAATTCAAAAATTAGTTCTATTAATAATTAATTACTTTACTTACTATTCAAATGAATTTATTTCTAAAAATTTATCGTTTTTTTTGGAATTAAACAAACAAACAACAAATTTTTCTTAAAATGAATTCCTAATTAATAATTTGCTATATAAAGGTGGCTTTTGATCAAATAAATAATAAATGTTTTTCTTGTTGTTCCTTTCCACATTGGCATTGGCCGAGTTTGATTTGTCCAATGACGACTTCTTCCTCTTTAAAGAATTTGAGCTGAAGTACTCTAAGAAGTATGAAACTCCAGCACAACGCCTCTCAAAATTGGCTCTTTTCCGTGACTCTTTGAAAAAAATCAGAGAATTGAACAGCCAAAGAACACGAAAGTCCGACGCTATTTTTGGGATCAATTATTACTCCGATTTAACTCCCAAAGAAATGGGAATTGTACCACATGAACACGTGTCTGTTCCACTCGATCCTCAAGAAATAAACAATGGAAACAAAAAGGGACCAAAATCAGTTCGAGAGTTTAACACTCTTCCTGACCTTCCTGAAGGAGATGAACTTCCAGACTATTTGTCTTACTGCGGACCTTATGTTGAGTACAACACCGACCATCCCAAAGTTGATTTCTGTGGTGAACAAGTCAATCAAAACTTGTGTGGATGTTGTTACGCAGCCGCTGTGAATAACCAAGCGCAATATGTCTTTGCCAACATGACTTATTATAAAAACAACAAAGACGCTTCTAAAGTCCAAAAACTGTTATTCAGCCCCCAAAGGATGATTGACACGGTGTTCACAAACCCTAGCACTTTATCATCAAACAAGAGGTGTTGTGGCGGAAATAGTGGCACTGCACTTCTAGGCCAGCCTACGTACTCATTACAGTCGGACTACCCATTTGTCGATGGTAAAGACGCAAATGCTGGAACTTTGTGTAACCCTCGTGGTGACCAAAACTCTGCTGTGAAATTACAAATGAGGAACAATGGATTTAAAATGTGGACGACTGTAGAAAAAACAGGACACAAAGATAAGGTCATGGCGATTAAGAAAATCATACACATGTATGGGCCTATTCTAGTCGCAATCGACGCATCCAGATCGGGCTTGAAAAATTACAAGTCGGGTATCTTTTCCTTCCCCCAAACAGATACTATATGCAATCCAAATAACGTGTATACAGACCATCAGGTGATGTTAGTTGGATATGGTAAAGATGAGGAAGATAACAGAGAGTATTTTATTGGTCGAAATACGTGGTACAGCAGTTGGGGAGAGAACAACAACTACATTAAAATATCGACAGATGTTTTCTGTGGTATTGGCGAGTTCATTGCCGATAACTTCTTACCAAGCAACTACATCATTTATTCGGGAAGTTGTGTACTTGATCCAAATTGTGAGTCGTGTAACACAAAGACTTTGGAATGTACAAAATGTGCTGCTGGAAGTAATAAAGATGCACGAGGGATGTGTGTGAAACCCGATCAATATAAGAACCCAATTATCTGTGCACTTGGGAAGTATGGGACATACCCCGAATGTAACAAATGCCTCACAGGATGTAAAGATTGCAGTGATGGTGCTACGTGCAAAGTGTGTAAAAATAGCATGAAGC